GGCCCCAGTAGCCGCCTGGCTGGGCCAGGCCAGTGCTGATGCCGGGGTGCCGGGCGAGCGGCGTGCAGCCCCCATGGTGCCTGGCACCCTGCCTCTGAGTAGGAGTTGTGGGGTAACGAAAGCTAGAGAGAGAAAACAGGGCACGCTTGCCCCCACACGGCTTTGTTTTTGCTCGCCTGCACCACCCACCCGAGCGTAGTGTCCTCTCAAGTTCTTCTTGGCACATACCGTGTTGACCTGCCTTCTCTGCACATGCTGGTGGGGGGAAATCTAACTCGGAGAAACTGGGGGGACTGAAGTACTGCACAGTACGCCAGAATCAAGGACAGCCACAGAGCCTTACTTCTCAATGCGCCTGACAGAGCAACAATACTCAACTGATAATACTGTACTGAGAGCCACTACCCTGACTAATACTCAGGGTATCCCCAAGGAAACAAGATCACAACTTCTGCTCCAGTGAACACCCTTAACGATCGCTTTGGAATATGCATCCAAAGGACGAAATCCCTGTCTGTACTGAAAACACACGCGTTGGGTGTCTCCCAGTTCAGATGTTACAGGGTCCTTTTCCAAAGCTGTGCCTAGAGCTGGGAAGGAGTTTTCTCCACGATCTGAGTTGCTCTGACAGCTAGGCTGAGGAGCACATTTGGAATTAATGGCGTTAGATAACAAGGTGATTTCTGTTGTCCAGTTCCCTCGTAGCGGACTGTAGCTATTGCAGTGCTCGCTTGCTGTGGCTATCTCGCCCTTCCTTGTTTATCTTCCTGACTTGGCTTTGCCTTCGTCTGTCGTTGGGACTTTTCTTTTAGCGACTGTGTCAGTATTAGGGAATACTGGCAACAGAAAGAAAGGGGTTTTTAGAAAAGAATACTCATTGCTATGAACTAAGGGGCCAAATAGAAAAATCTTACACCGGAAATCTCAGTGGAGTACCATCAACAGCTAACTTTGCCCTCCAGAAGACTGCATCTGTAAACTCTCCCTTGCTAATAGCAGCTGTCTAAGACAGAATTTTAGGAAAAAAAAGCAAACTCACCGTCTCCTCTTCCTCAGCAGCCAAGTAACTAGGCAACACAACACTGTCCCAGCCAAGAGGATACTCAAGACTGTTGTGGTGAGCACCATGCGATGCTTTTGTACGTCTTTTGGCTCTGCAGCATCTGTGCTTCTCTCACCGGCCACACCTGGAGGAAATTACAGAAGGTCATATGTTACTGTGTTCTGCACTACTGATAACCTCACAACGTGCTTATGTTCCCAGGAAATTTTCTTTTTCCCTTTCTTAGCACCTCTGAAGGCCTGAAATCTCGGGCTGACTGCAATGCTTCCTTGGTTTCAGTAGAAGCAAAGGGAACTCCCAAGTCATTGCAAATCAGCGAGCTTTGGAGTCTCTCTTTAGCCTCTCTGCCTTGTTTACGTTCTGGGATGGCCACAATCCAGTTTTCCCAATCGGATGGGAAATCGGTTTGCTCCCCCTTTCTGGCAATCCCTTACATTCCACAATTCTTTTGGTGCTCTCTCACCTTTCTGAGGCTTAACAGTGCTGTTACTGGGAGGCATGCTCTGACCCTTTGGGACAAGTCGTCCCACTGAACAAGGCTCATTAGGCCAGAAGGAGAGCATGCGGGCATGCTCATCTGGTTCACCAATAACTCCTTTGAGTGACGTGGACAAAAGCCATCCCGGGTCCAGGGAGCGCCGCCTCAACTCTTCCCTAACAAGTCAGCACCCTCGCCCCCGGGCACAGAGTCAGCCTCTCTTGGGCTCCTGCTTCCACTGCCAGTGACACTGGTATTCCCAGCTACACCATGGCTCAGCTCCAAGTGAAATGGTGCCAGCTGCACTTCCCAGCCCAGCAGCCAGGCTGGGCTCCTCTGGGGTGGCCTGTGGCAAAGGACACAATTGAACCTGGCTCTCCCCCTTTGCCTTTTCTCCAGCACTGGCACCACCTCCCCTTCCTCCGCCTTCTGGTCTTCCAAACACCACTCCTATGCTCCAAGTCTTCAGGACTCCTCTCTCACTTAGGCATCCCTGCAAGACTGCTCAGTACCTCGGTGCTTTGGAAAAAAGGCATATTTCCCATCGTGGAGGGTTTCTCCTGGCTCTGACACACTTGGAAGCACTGTCAAGAATGAGAGAGAGGTAAAGCCTCAGCATTGCTCAGGCACCCAGCATGCAGAAGGACGGGTGAGGTTCCCTCCAAACCCCTGCCTGACCTGGGAATCAGGGCATCACCTGGGACCTCCTTTCACAGCAGCGATCCCACTTGGTGCTCCTTTTGTGCCTCTGGGCCTATAGAGACTCCCTGCAAGTTCTGAGATGCACGTACGGCAGGAGGTCAAGTTGATTAAGAGTGATGTTTCCTAACCTGTGCTCAATGTGGTTAAAACTGCCTTCTTCCCCAAATGGCAAAGCTCCAAAAGGCATGGGAGCTGCATGGTGTGGGAAGTGAGGCTATCTAACAGGACCCACAAAGGTCTATATGCACATCTCTGGCATACTAATTGGAATCGTCTCCACACACCAGCGACAAAAGTCATCTTCAGAAAGCCGCTCCTGGCTTCTTGTAGAACACTTGTGATGCCCTAATCCTTTAACATTTGGCCGCTGACACGCTGTGCAGGAGGGGGTCCCAAGGAAGAACCCGCTTGACACACAGGGATTTTGATTTCTTACACCAGATGACAATGGACAGCAAGCACCTGGCATGCCTGTTGCTTGAATTTGTTAGAAAAGGGAGCTAATTTAGCTCTAGCCCAGCTTAGCACTAGTGCCTGAAGTAGGTGAAGCCTGCAGGCCGCAGGACTGAACTGTAAATGAGCTCGAGAGACATTGCTGAGGATGCGGCTGCAAAACCAGCTAGAACCAGCCCTCCAAGATACAGCACACAATGGACAGAGGTAATGGTTAACCTTGGGATAAGATAAGGCACTATGAAGCAGGAACACAGCAACCGTCCTGGGATGTAGACGTGAACCAATCAAAAGAAAAGACACCACCGATGCAGTAAAGAAGACTGAAAGAGACTGTCACTAGCAGGCAGGGAAATTTGACTGTAAGGAGTATAATTACCCCCAAATGTCTTTGTTCAGGGTCCCTCCCCGGAGGCACCCAGCTCGAGCTATTACTTTGCTGTAGCGCCATTTAAGCAAATAATTAAATTCACTGTTAGATGTACGTGAGACTCTGCTCCTCGGAAACCTAGGGTCGAACTATTTCCATAACAAACTGCCTCTTTCTTCAACAGAGACTGGCAGGTATCGTTACACTATGGTACTTGTCTCAACCTTCCACTCTGGAGCATTTTGCAAACATTTACCGGGTGCCTGCAAGGGCACCATGTAAGTAGAAATCCAAGCATGCTGGGAAGGGATCCCCTGGAGTTCACATAAGCTGTAAACGTAATGCCATCATACCCCCTGGCTTTGCAGAAGGCACTAGAAGCAGCAAGTCAGCAGCACAGGGGCAGGAGGACTTGCCAGCACACCTTTGCGAGCCAAAACCCCCAGCGCAGATCTCTGAAGACCGCCCTAGTTCACACACATAGGTCGTCACAACTGTGGAGAGGCTGGGACCTATTAGGCGGGACCTGCCAGCTCTCCTTTGTTGAGGCACTATCCAACAGCCCCCCCAAGCACCCCCAGCACAAACACACACTCCCTCCGTGCCCGCTTCCAGGGGGGTCTCTAACATACACCAAGGAAGCCAGAGCTTGACAAACAGGCAACCCTCAGCACCACACCACAAAAGGGATCGTTTACGCTCCTCCTGCACAGGAGCCCACCGCCCAGTGGAAGCCTGAACCAGCGCTCCCCCTAGGTGTTCTTCTGCCCTTCAGTCGCGGGATGTGTGCTGTGTACCTTGCCTTCATCAGGAGGGCCCTACAAACTGAGGAAAGCCATGCTTATTTAAAAGGATCATTTTCGCACTACTCCCCGCCGGGTTCAAATCCAGGGTCCAGAGGAGAAGAGAAATCTCCATCACCTACCGCCACATCTGGAACCAAACACAGACGGGAACAGCTCCCGTTATATATATTTCAATATCCTTCTTCAGATGTGAGTGCTAATGAATGAGGGGGAACACAGAATTACACTAAGGCACTTCTCTTGCCCTTCCACTCACAAGCATCTTCCAAATGCTTACTGGGTGTGTGCACAGGCACACCACAGGGGTACAAATCTAAACATGTCTGGGAGTTGCTAAGGGAAAGGATGCCCTGGAGTTCACCAAACCTGTAAACTCCACCCCATCCTGCCCCCTGGCTTTGCAGCAGGCACTGCAAGCAGCACAGGCTCGGTGGAACTGGCCAACAGCGCTTTGCGAGCCAAAACACCCAGCACAGATCTCTCAAGCCTTTCGGAGTTCCACTCTGCTCCTTTGTGTGCCTGAGCATTGGCCAACGACGCGCTCGGTTAAATGTCCCAGGAATAACACCTTGCAAAAACCTGCTCGTTCCACGATGTGAATGCTTCTTGACTACTTACCACTGGCATCCCACACAGGTCCAAAACCAGGATCCAGCTGAGGAGCTGCAAGGCCACTGCCTGCAGGAACACCTGTAATCATTATGTATGTATGTATGTATGTATGTAATCATTATACGCTTTCATTATGTGCTGCCACATGCTTCCGCAGAAGGGAACTGCAGGGAACGGAAGGGGAACGGGGGGCACCCACGTGGCTCGAGAGTCCCCCAGCGGCAGGAGGGCTGGGGGAACTCGTTGGCTGGCACCTGGCAGCTCCCCAAATCCTCCCTCCAGGCGCTACCCAACAGCCCCCCAAAGGACCCCCGGGACAAAATAACAGGGGCATCCTCCCCTCCAGGGGCAAGGGGGATGCACCAAGGACGCCGGAGCTCTACGAACAGGGAACCCTCCGCTCCGGGGCACACGAAGGCTCGTTCCCGCTGCGCGGGCGCAAGAGCCCCCCGGCCAGGCAAAGGCAGAAGCAGCGCGAGAGAAGCAGTGCTCCTCGTCTTCCCGGGGACAGCCCGCGACCACTCACCGCCAGCCGCTCCCCGAGGCTCCAAGGCGGCGTGCGGCCAGGAAGCCGGATCGCCCTCGCCGCCAGGCAGCGCTGGGAGCCCACGCG